TAAATCCTGCAATTCATGATCTTAACGATTATAATATTTGTAGTTTTGAGAAAAATGAGAATAATTCAGACCGAGTAAAACGATTATTTTCCTCATTAAAATTAAATGATTTAAATGACTTAGAAAGTCAAAGTATTCAAAATATTTGTGCAAAATATGCAGATGTTTTTTTATTTAGAGGGCGATAAATTGACAACAACAGATATTTACACTCACAATATTTTTTTGAAATCAAACGTTAGTCCAGTGTTTTCGAAACCCTATAGGTTACCAATTAGTCAGAAAAAGGAAATTAATCGTCAAATTAGCAACATGCTTAAAGACGGGATTATAGAACCTAGTAAAAGCAACTGGTCTAGCCCAATATTATTGGTGCCTAAAAAAATAGATGAATCGGGTAATAAAAAATGGCGATTGGTAGTGGATTACCGTAAATTAAATAACTGTATAGAGGACGATAAGTACCCCCTCCCTGATATTACAGAAATTTTAGAATCTTTGTCTGGAAGTGTCTATTTTACACATTTAGATTTATATCAAGGGTATTACAATGTTAATTTAGATAAAAGTTGTCGAAAATTTACTGCTTTCAATTCTGGTCAATACCAGATGACGAGAATGCCCATGGGATTAAAAACAAGTCCCAGTTCTTTCTCGCGAATGATGAATTTAGCAATGTCAGGACTAAATAATGAAAAATGCTTAATTTATTTAGATGACGTCATTGTTTTTGGTAGACAACTAGACCACTATAATAAAAACTTACAGAATGTTTTCGAAAGACTTCGTTCAGTAAACTTAAAATTGAACCCTTCAAAATGTACATTTCTTAAAAAACAGATTTTATATTTGGGACATTGTATATCTAACGAAGGGATTTTACCTGATCCTGAAAAAATAAATACAGTAAAAAACTATCCTTGTCTGCAGAATGCCGACGAAGTTAAAAGATTTGTGGCGTTCACAAATTATTATAGAAAGTTTATACCCAAGTTTGCTGAAATTGCGCAACCATTAAACCAACTTTGTAGGAAAAATACTAATTTTGTTTGGACTGAAAAATGTCAAAAGTCTTTTGAAACACTCAAAAAACGTAATATGTCCCCCCCAGTCTTAGATTACGCTGATTTTTCAAAAGAAAATTATTTCATTTTACAAACCGATGCATCTAATAAAGCAATTGGAGCAGTTCTGTCGAATAAAAATGGAAGACCTATAGCTTTTACTAGCAGATCTCTAAATAAGGCTGAATTAAACTATCCAGTTATAGAAAAAGAGTTGTTAGCGATAGTATGGGCCGTGAAACATTTCAGACCGTACCTGTATGGGCAATATTTTAAAATCAGGACTGACCATAAACCTCTAGTATACCTATTTGGCATGAGAGATCCATCGAGCAGGCTTATGAAGTTTCGGTTGGTATTAGAGGAATATAATTTTGACGTAGAGTATGTAAAGGGTTCAGATAATGCAGCTGCAGATGCGTTATCTAGAATCTGTTTGAGTTCCAAAGATTTAAAAGAATTAAATGAGAACATCGTTAGTGTCATGACGCGAGCAAAATGTCGAAAAATAAATAAACCAGAATCCTCCTCGTTGGACATAATACCCACAGACTTGAAGCCTGATCAAGCGAAAGTCGTAAGTAATCATGTCAAACCAGCAGAATCAGTGGAGTTGCGTGTGGTTAATAAAGATGATTTGAAAACATTGAGAAAATTAAGAGTTATTAGTAAAGAAAATAATACATTTTGTTATGTTGAAAAGGAAAAGATAATTTATATTAAATATCTAAGTTCCGACTCACGAATGACGCGACGCGAGTTTGTGAGGGAATTAGATGATTTTTGTAAGTTAATAAATGTTAATGAAGTATATATAATAAAGAAGGATGGTAATAAGGAATTTATTAAAAAACTAGTTGAAGAAATCAAATCTATGAATGATAGGACCGGTCCACGTGTACATATAATAAATAATGTAAAAACGATATATAATAAGGATGACAGAAAGGTGATATTAAATGACTTCCATCTCCTACCTAGCAGTGGCCATGCAGTTATGAGAAGGATGGTCAACAATATAAAAAAGTATTATTATTGGCCTGGGTTAGATAAGGATGTAAAGAATTTTGTTAGGCGTTGTGACAAATGTCAGCGTCAGAAATTTTCGTTACCCGTAAGAGAGCCACTAGAAATAACAACGACAGCTAATACAGCGTTTGAAAAGATATATTTAGACTTAGTAGGTCCATTTGAAGTTAATAATAATAATTACTCTTATGCTTTAACGCTACAATGCGAACTCACTAAGTATGTCGAAGCATATCCCTTAATTTCTAAAAAAACCAACGAAGTAGCAAAGAGTTTGGTCACTAACTTTATTCTTAGGTATGGAGTACCGAAAGTAATAACTACGGACAGAGGGAAAGAGTTCACCGCATCATTATTCAAAGAGGTATGTAAATTGCTTCAAATAAAACAATTAAATTCGACTGCTTACCACCACCAATCACTAGGTGCGTTGGAAGTGTCACATAAAAATTTAAATGCTTTTGTTCGCATTCAAATTGATAATCACCCAGAAACATGGAGCGACTGGTTACCATTTTGGTCGTTTGCCTATAATACGACAGTTCATTCAGAGACGAAATTCAGTCCTTATGAACTTGTCTTTGGTAAAAAATGTTCACTTCCTAGTAATTTGACAGTAGATTTAGAGCCACTTTATAACTACGATCATTATCCATGTGAGCTCAAATACAGGTTACAATTGTCACAAAGAGAGGCAAGAAATAATTTGATAAAGTCTAAAGAAAAGAGAAAAATTATATTTGATAAATATACCAAGCCTATAAAATACAATGTAAATGATTTAGTACTCTTAAAATTGAGTCAGGTAATAAACTAAGTGATCTATACTCTGGTCCTTATAAAGTTGTTAAAGATGTAACACCAAACGTAGAAATAATTAAAAATGGTAAAAATGAATTAGTACATAAAAACCGCACGAAATTGTATATCCAATAATAAATAAAACATATTTTATATGCTGAATCTAAGTACATTTATTGTTATTATTATTATTTCTGTCTGTAGATTACTTAATATTACGTAATTATAAATATTCTAAATTAAATAATCATATAAAAAAAATGTTCTTAAAATAAATACCTTATATATTATTTTATAATGCAACTGTTCCTAATATTTACGAAAATAAAATCTTTTAATGTATCAAAAAAAAAAATGTATCCTTGTATTGACACATTTTTTTTTCTTTTGGATGGAAGGTGTAGTAGTAGTAGTAAGGGTATATAAAAGTACACACACAAGTGTAATAATAATCCTATATAATCAAATTTATTAATACAATAAAGAGATTTTTGTATCATCATTCGTTTGTTTAACTCCTCTCCTAACATTCGCCCTACAGTGCATAACTGAATACATGAGAATAATAAACATACCTACACACGATTAACGCGTGACTCTAACCTTGGTTACATTTCATTTAAGTATTTTTTCATTAGCGGGGAATCGAACCAGTTATTTGGGTTATTTAACCTGTTAATTCGGATTAAAGTGGCTACATGGAGACAAGCACAGTGGCAAAATAGTAGGTTAAGTAGATAAGTTAGGTATTTTGACAAATGTTGTAAATTATTAGGTATTGTGGTATGGCCCACTAGTTGCGGGCCGCGCGAATTCGCGTTCGCGCGTATATTGACCTCTAGCCAGCTGATATCAATTCAGTAATTCGACTACTGGTTTTATGTTTCAGTATGTTCTTGATTTTTTTATGAAATTATCGTTTCGTTTAGCTGTACTAACATAATAGAAAATGAATAAAGCTAATAAAACATTGTGAAAAAATAATTTTTCTTTCATCAGGATCGATTTTATATTCCACCCATAATCAAAGGTATAGTTGATACTGTCGTCTGTCTTAGTTTTCGGGAGCGTTCCAAAATTACCCTGTATATATATATATATATATATATATATATATATATATATATATATATATATACCCTGTGTGTGTGTTTGTGTGTGTGTTTATATGTATGTGTGTATACGGTTATTTTTTTATAATACTTTTTATATTCTCTGTAACCACCTTCTTAGTGTTATCACTGCCCTAAGGTTGACTAGCAGAAAATGCTTTTTAGTAATAAGTACACCTTTTAAGCCTTTACTGTATTGTAAGGTTTGATAAAGATTACATAAATAAATAAGAAAATAAAGAAAAAAAAAAGAAAGTGTATTTTTTCTTTCTTTCATTATTAAATTTGGTTTTTTATAAAATGCTATGTAGCTGGAATAGGTAATAGGTCTCGTTTGCTAGCCCCTCTGTCGCCAGCCGAGTCCGCGACTGGCGTGTCGCCGCAGAGGTGGAGACGCTGTCGGACTGCAAGCGGCCGCCATCCAACAACCCCGATTAACGACGGCCCGCGTTGGGCGCTTAAGCGCATCGACAGGGAACTACTCGAGGAAGCTGCCCTAGTTCAGTCCTGAATCTGGGAGTCGACGACGGACGGCCCCGTCGACGTCGAAGCGGTGGCACTATGGTTTCGCGGGGCGATGACGCAGATCTGCGACGCGTCCATGACCCGTGTCCGCCAACGGTCCGCAAAGCGCCAGGTGTACTGGTGAACCGCCGAGATCGCGCAATTGCGCATAGCGTGCGTTGCGGCTCGTCGCCGGTACACCCGATACCGAAGGCGGCGTCGACGGGATTCCGCCGAGGAGGATGCGCTGTATGAGTTGTACCGCGCGTCTAAGGAGACTCTGTGGCTGGCCATCGGCGACTTAAAGTCGCGTGCCAGGGAGGAGCTGCTGGGGTCCCTAGATCGGGATCCGTGCGGGCGCCCCTACCGTTGGATACGGGGCAAGTTGCGTCCCTGGGCGCCTCCACTAACACAAAGGATGCAACCCCAGTTGCTAGAGGCGGTGTTATCGACTCTCTTCCCTGAGCGAGTGGGACACGTTCCCCCGGCGATGGCTTCGCCCTCAGCCACAGACTCTCCAGAAGAGGAGAGCACCGATGTCCCCGAGGTGACGCAAGCAGAGACGAGAGTGGCCGTGTCACGACTCCGGGCTAAGAACACAGCGCTCGGACCCGACGGAGTTCCTGGTCGAGCTCTCGTCCTGGCTCTGAAGGAGCTAGAGCCCCAGCCGAGGAGGCTCTTCACGGCATGTCTCGAGCAGGGTCAGTTTCCCAGTGTGTGGAAGGAGGGGAGACTGGTCCTGCTCAGGAAGGAGGGGCGCCCCGCGGACTCACCGTCCGCGTACCGGCCTATAGTACTGCTCGACGAGGCGGGCAAACTTTTTGAGCGTATCATCGCAGATCGCCTCGTCAGCCACTTGTGCAGAGAGGGGCCGGACCTAGATGACAACCAGTTTGGTTTTAGTCGCGGGCGCTCCACCATAGACGGTATTACACGCGTGAGGGCTCTGGCGGAGGAGACAGTATCCCGGGGTGGGGTGGTGCTGGCGGTGTTCTTAGACATCTCCAACGCCTTCAACACCCTACCCTGGAGTTGTATTCGGGAGGCGCTGCATTACCATCGCGTGCCTCCCTACCTCCGCCGTACAATAGGGGCTTACCTTGAGGAGAGATGCGTTACCTATTGGGGACGTGACGGCGCTGGTCGGCGCGTCATGTCGTGCGGTGTTCCGCAGGGATCGGTCTTGGGACCGCTCCTGTGGAACATCGACTACGACTGGGTGCTGAGAGGTGAACTCCTGTCGGGCGCCGACTTGACGTGTTATGCGGACGACACGCTCATCACTGCCCGGAGGAATTCGCACAGGGAAGCAGCGTTGGTTGCCACGGCTGCGGTGTCACAAGTGGTGAACCGCATCCGGCGCCTAGGCCTGGAGGTGGCCCTAAATAAGTCGGAGGCCATGGTGTTCCTTGGCCCTCGACGCGCGCCGCCGCCGGGTTCACACATCGTGGTCAGCAGGGCCCGGATAGCTGTCGAGTCCACCATGTTATCTGGGATTGGTGCTTGACAGCCGATGGGAATTCAGACCCCACTTCCGGCGGCTGGCGCCCAAGCTGATGGATGCAGCGGGCGCGCTATCAACGTTGCTTCCCAACTTGGGGGGCCCGAGCGCCGCCTGTAGGCGGTTGTACGTGGGAATCGTGCGGTCCATGGCCCTGTATGGGGCCCCTGTGTAGGCGATGGACATGACGGCCAGCACTCTCGCCATTCTGCGTAAACCGCAGAGGGCAACGGCTATCGGAGTCGTCCGCGGGTATCGCACGATTTCCTACGAGGCGGCTTGCGTCCTGGCCGGATCCCCGCCCTGGGACCTAGAGGCGAAAGTACTCGCATCATTATATCGATGGCGCGATGAAGAGCGGGCACGGGGCTCGAGGCCGGTGCAGTGGCAGATCGCGCTGCGCCGAGAGGAGCTCCGTCAGGTCTTGGTAGCGGAATGGCGGGAAAGGCTTCTGTGCCCTACCGCCGTCCTCGCTACGGTCGAGGCGATCCGGCCAGTACTCGACGACTGGCTCGGGAGAAGGCACGGCTCCCTGTCGTTTAGGGTGACGCAAGTGCTGTCGGGGTATGGCTGCTTAGGCAAGTACCTGCGCCACATAGACAGGGAGCCGGACGCTCGGTGCCACCACTGCGTTCATTGCGGGGAGGACACGGCGCAACACACGCTCGCCAAATGTGTAGCTTGGGAGGAGCAGCGCCGTGTCCTCACAAATAAAGTAGGAGGCGATCTGTCGCTGCCGGCCTTAGTGCGGAAGATGGTTGGTAGCGCAGAGTCGTGGGATGCGGTGGTATCCTTCTGCGAGGACGTGATGTCGCAGAAGCAGAAGCAGAAACTGCGGAACGGGAAAGGGAGATCTCGACTCCCTTCCCTGGCCGCAGAAGGCGCACCAGGCGCAGGAGAAGGGCGGACAACGCCCTTTTCCGACGCGAGGGACTTGGGGAAGCCCCCGCCACCCCTACTCGATGGACCCGAGGCGGAGGCGCGCGCACCTGAGGCGATACACGGGGTAGTTGAACACCTCACTACCCCGTGCAGGAGACGAGGCCTGGACAGACCGGGCCAGCACTAGTGTGGAGCTGCGGAAGAATTTGGATTCCCGCGGTCCCACGCGCACGTGTGAGGAGACACCGGGGTGGTTTTAGCCGGTAAGAGTCCGGCACGTCTCTCCACCTTTCCCCAGGCGGAGGTAGTCCATGAGGATTTCCCCCCGTAAAAAAAAAGGTAAGAGATAAGTGGTTACTTACCCTGACGAATTTCTAGGCAGAAAAGAAGTCTTTTTGCCTACAAACCTTACCATTTGTGTAGAAACTGAATGAAGCGCGTGCATCGGGCCAAGGTTTTATGAGCAAACAAACGAACTTGTGTTACAGTGACATCTTAAAATATTTGGCAAACAAGTTGTGTAACTCTTTTTGGAATCACAGTTATTTCGATATAACTTTTTTAAATGTTGGATGTTGGTAATTCATTTAATGACACATCCTGTTGCTACGTCATTAATTGAGTTACCAACATTTAAATCGTAAAATTTTTCAATAATAATTTGAAATGTGCACAAGCACATTGTGCCGTGTAATGGGGGTTAAGTATATCCACTACCCCATATCTTCCCGTGGGTGTCGTAAAAGGCGACAAAGGGAAACAGGCAGGAAATGGGCAGCAGCATCTTTCTGATAACAGCAAAATTACAATAAAAAAACTGCGGTTGCCAACCCGCTCGCCAAGCGTGGCAACTATGGCAAATACCCCCCAATGATAAGACATGCAAGACGTCGATGGATGCAGGTGGCTCAGGACCGTGCTTTGTGGCATTCTTTGGGGGAGGCCTATGTTCAGCAGTGGGCTTATGAAAGGCTGTAATGATGATGAATGATGACAAGCACAGAACACAATTACTCTCAAGTGAGGTCACAGAGCTGTTAGTTATATGTCGTAAAAATTATTATATTCTATCCTATATAGTAAACGCCACCAGCACAATATCTTAAGTTCAAAGGATAATTAAAATGACTTGTAAAAAAATTACCTCTTTTATTAATTACAAATGTAACAATACATTAGAATTATTACTATTACTATTTTAGTTCTATTTACACAAAAAAAGACATTTTCAATATATAATTTTTACTTCTTTCAAGACTTGTGAAGCCAGATTGAAATAAAATAACAATATAATATTTATTACCTTTAAAAAACAAACACGATGAAATAATATATATAAATGTCGTTATAATAATAGCATAGTTTGATTGTTGAATTAATTGATAAGAATGTGCAAATTGATAAATACTTATATATTAAATAAACAACACCTACAGAATATTTATTGGAAATAAACAGAAATATAATGGACTTTTGTAAGTAAACAAAACTACAAAATCTAAATGCATTGTTTCTAATTTTATTGCAATACACTATATTAAAATATAAGCACCAATTCTTAAAAATTATTTCTACCTTTGTCCAAAATGCTATAAATTGAAAAATCTACATGAAACTAGGATTTACATTTCTTAATGTAAGAAATCCTAACGTTTATTTTATAGTACAAGTACTAGGGCCCCTTGTTTCTTGCCAAAGTAACTATTATAAAGTTGGCTCACTTTGAGGCGAAACGGTTTATAAAACGTTTTGTAATATGAGTAATCTAAATATGCACACCATTTCATTTCGCAGTTTTTATAAAATGTTGTACCAAAACCAACAAATACTAATGATAAACTAAGTATCTCGTTTCGCCTCACTTGAGAAAAAACACGTAACCAAAGGTTTCGTCGTAATATAATATACATATATAGCATTGTTTTTGACATTGGGATTTTCCAAACAGTAGAAAGTTGTACTGATTTTCATACCAATGATAATCTTGATGATAAAGACCAAAATCAAAAAATAAACCAACCAACGAAAACATCGCGTTTCTCCCGCATTTGCAGAATAAGATGGAACAAAATGTTACATAAATATAAAATATATAAAAATTACTTCTTTTTTGTCAGTAGCCTTTGGAACAATTGAAAATATAATACCCTTGCTATTTTAATGGCAGTCCAGTTTTTAATTCATCAAATGATGCAAAAGAAAACCAAAATCGAAATGTCCAAACATTTAAAAGTAAATATTTGTATGATTTAAACATTATCTTTAATTAATAAGATTGGTCGAAACTCATAAAGAATTAACCAACATAGACTTGTTAAATAATGATGATTTTTGCAATAACTTGAATAAAATTTATGAGTACATTATTACAATTTTATTAAAGTTCTTAAGAAAAACAAAATTTATATACATACATCTTCATTAGCGCTATTACTCAATAAATACAATTATGTATATAATTCCAATCAACTTTATGATTTCAACTTCATAAGTCCTCATTTTAAAAATTTGATACATTTATTTATTGTCCTATCTTCAATTTGATAACGAAAACATTCCAAATGTTCAATAATTCTCCACTGCACCTTTTTTAGTTATGAAAACACACAAAATTAGTTCCCAAGTTAGGTATTAACATTTTAAAATATTATAAAAATTACGAAGTTTTAATCAATATATAATAATTTTTACATAATTATTACCTATGACAGAAAAGCTTTGCTATCAATAAAACTGATATTTCTTTTTAAAGATTCAGAAGAAAAAGCAAATGATTTGACAGTGATATGTGATCAAATGATTTACTACTAATATATGTATAAACTTCATTTGATAAAGACCAAATTTGATAATTCAAAAAAATTCAAGTGACACATAAAACGATAATATTTATGTAGTAATTTATTGTAATATTTAAAAAAAATTACTTACACAAATTTCTGCGTCCCATTAATCAATATACAGGGCTATTTTGCAATAACCGCCCAAATTTGCAGAGAAGGTTCGGAATATGTAATATAGGGCAAATGGTGAAGAAAAATTTACTAAAAAAATCTCAATCATTATCGTCTTTTTATCTTTTTAATTCCAAAAACGTGGTATTGCATTATTTTAGCTGCTTTTACTACGCACGCACCCATTGGTAAGGGTCGATTCGTAGGCAAAAACGTTGTTGCCCATAAATCACGTTCAATTTGGCATAATTTCAAATAAAAGTAAAAGCCTTATTTATTCGTATTTTCAAAAACTGCAACAAGGGTATGTCATTATTTATTTATTTGAACGTAAGTTTAAAATTTGGATTCTCTTTGAAAAATTACCCTGTAAAAGCCACCGTAGAACTCGAGTAACCGACAAAACCAAACGGATTAGTAAACTGAAGTAGCAATCAGTCGGTCGTATACCTCGAAGAACAGAAAACAGATCGGAAGAAAGAATCTTGAGTGGCAGCATCTTACCGATAAATAAAGTGTAGTTGCTCCCCACTAGATGCAGTGACGATCTGGTAAAAGATGCAGGAAGTCGATGGATGCAGGTGGCTTTAAGGTATTCCATGAGGGAGGCTGAAGTTCAGTAATGAACTTGTGATGGGCTGCTACGACGACGATGATGATGAAATTTAAGCCTAATTCGTTAACACAGATTCAATATCCGTTTGAAACGTTTGACCACTGCGAAAATATTATTATAAAGGCAGCAAAATCAGTTAACTAGCTCGGTGATATTTTTTGTATTCATTAATGTAATATTTACAGCACATTAAAAAAACCACTGCTGGAAGTAGCTCTTCCCTTTAGGGGATATTTTGCCATAGTTTTCACGTTTGGCAGGTGGGTTTTTTTATTAATTTCAGCTATTTTAGTTTCCATTTGACATCGACTTTAAATTACGACTTAAAAATCATAATTAAATAGCTGAAATTAGAGTGAACTATGACAAGACACGTTAAACACCTCTGTCTTCCGGGTAATATAAAGTATTCAAAATTATGACATTTTAAAATTTAAAATCCCTAAAATAAGTATAATGTAATAAAAATCCTAATATAGTCCTAAAATCTTAAAAAACTGCGGCCTATTCGCCTGAAAAACATTGATATATAGAAAAAAAAATTAGAGGAGTTTTGATAGGCTGGTATGATTGAACGATTTTATTAATTCATGTATATATTAAATAATTATCGAAATTAATATTATTAATTAGAAATACACTATGCTTCAGCAATCGTGAAGTTGAACAAGTATGATATAATAAAAAAATAAATATAGTTTTAGGAACGCAGCAGCAAGGCGTGTATAGAGAAATCTTTAAAAGCATGCTTAAATATATAGAAATTAAAAAAGTTGCACATATATTATTAACATGATAATTAACAAATTTCTAATGCATCCATTTATTTGAAGTATTTTTTTAATTATCCATTAAAAATAAACAAATCAACTATTTTCGATTTGTTAATAAATAATACATTCTTAAACAATTTACTTTTAACAATTACAAAAATCAAATTTATTATCTATCTTATCACATGTCTAGATATCATTTAGGGCGAAATGTGTATTCGTTATCTAGGTGGCTCGATATCTGCCTTAACTATAATTGTTTTTGTTGATCTTTTACACGGAGACTCTTCATCTATGCCGTAGAAATAAACACTTCTATGCGGATACACTTTTGTCTTTGACTCGACAGATGAACCCAAATTCCTTGGTAACGTTTTTGATTTACTGCACTTAAAATCACTTTTTAGGCAATAATCGTATATGAACTTTGGTCCTTCATCAAAATGTTTACTGTAATATCCATCGTAGTCTTCAAAAGGAACACTTTTGTAGTAGTTGTCCCAATGACACGTGTGTAGTTGGTAAGAACCTTCTGGGCAGGTCCTTGGCTCGTTTGGTGTGTCAAAGGTCCAAGAAGCAGGTGGTGTTGGGGCCCACGGTGGGGGCCCCAAATGTCATCCTCAGCGAATCGGCTTAGAAACAATTATTACGTCTGGCGCTGATCGTGTAGTTTCAGCACTAAGCGGACGTCGGTCGGATATTTTCTTCACTGCAAACGATTATAAAATTAAAAAAAATGTTTTCTGTCGCCCTTTTACCAAGTATGTTCTAAATATCAGTAGCTAAATAAGTACGCCTTTTACACCAGATATATACACAGACAACCTAAGGGCAACAATTTCAATGGTACATGACCATTCTGTCTGTGCCTGTCGAGCGTGATGATGAAGACAAATCCAGAGATACAACGGGAGAAGCTAAGGTTTAGGACTTTTAAGGGCTAATGGAAAAAGTTATAACCAGCAAAATTAGCTAAATCAACCCCTATATCTTTTTGTTGGTTTTATTTTATAGGAGAGGGGGCAAACGAGCATGTAGCTCACCTGATGGTAAGTGACTACCGCCGCCCATGAACAACCGCAACACCAGGGGAATTGTAGATGCGTTGCCGGCCTTTAAAAAGGAGTAGGCTCTTTTATTGAAGGTCCCTAAGTCGTATCGGTCCGGAAAAATCGCTGGAGGTAAACTATTCCACAAGGAAGTTGTGCAAGGAAGAAAACATCTTCTAAATCGCACAGTGGTAGACCGCCAATCATCCAGATGGTGTGGATGGTATCGGGAGTTCTGCCGCGATGTGCGTTCGTGAAATTTGGCGGCTGGGATTAATCCGAACAATTCCTCAGAGCACTCCCCATGGTAAATGCGAAAGAAAATGCAAAGAGATGCAACATCACTTCGCAGTGCCAATGAGTCGAGCCGATCGGAAAGGACTCGGTCGTCGACGATTCGAGCCGCTCTGCGCTGGATGCAGTCAAGTGGAAGGAGCTGGCACTGGGGAGCCCCAGCCCAGAGATCGGAACATTATTCCATGTGAGGCCGAACCTGCGCCTTGTAAAGTTGCAGGCGTTGAGCTGGCATGAAATACTGTCCCGCCCTGCTGAGGACGCCAAGCTTTTTAGAGGCCAATTTGGCCTTCTCTTCCAAGTGACCACGAAACTGCACGTCACTCTATATGTCGACGCCGAGGATACCGATACTGGCTGAGGCAAGAAGGGGAGTACCTTGAAACTGAGGAGATACGACAAAGGGGTTGTTTTTAGCGGTAAACGCGCAAACTTGTGTCTTCTGTGGTTTAAACTGGACTAGATTTAGTCGCCCCCAATCCGAGACTTTGTCCAGCAAAGACTCGACTTCAGACACAAGTTTGTCCCGGTACTCGGTGACGTTTTCCCGAGAAATATTGGCACGGCCGGTGTATAGAGCATCACCAGTGCTGTCATCCGCATAGCAATGAATGCCACCGGCTTGCAACATATCATTGATATGCAGAAGAAACAGCGTTGGTGATAGCACTCAGCCTTGAGGAACACCTATGACCTCCCATTTGTCGAATAAAATATCACTCAATCCATATATAGTCAGTATACGAATATAGTGAGAAACACCAAGACAGGCTTAGTGCACCATTCCAGTTTCCAGTTTCGATATTATGGAAATTGCTAACTAAAACCTCAAATGCTCATGCGGATACATTAAAAAAATTTGAACGTTATCTAAATAAATTATAATCGTAATATCTTTATTTCTTCGTCTTAGCCAAATAAATTTAATTTGTTAATTTTTTTGACCAACTAAATCTAGGGCGCCCCCTCCCCCCCCACGAGACGGAGTGACGACCTGGTAAGACATGCAGGAAGTCGATGGATGCAGGTGGCTCATGACCGTGCTTTGTGGCATTCCTTGCGGGAGGCCTATGTTCAGCAGTGGACTTATGAAAGGCTGTAATGATGAATGATGATGATGACTAAATCTACTATTCAATATAGTATTTAATAAAATATACAAGAATATAACCTCAATCGGTCAAGTTGCTCAGATATTACACGATCACTTACAGAGGCACCGACGATAAAAGGTATATTAGCTGGCTCGGCAGACGTTTTACTTCCATTCAGGTAGGTGGCGTGATAAGTTTCATTCCGAAATTTTTACTTTTAGAAGTTTATGTTTTGTAAGTCGAAGAAAAAGAAGAGATCTCCCAATGGGCAAAGCGCGGGGAGCGGCTAATGCTTCGTGTGGTTGTACAAAGCTATTTTATATATATTTACCGCAGTATTTCGGAACTTTGATAGCGCGATTTAGGCTTTTTATGGGCCAGTGTTTGACTACAACTCCACCTGGTGGAAAATTGCGTAATAAGCCTTACATGGTAATTGCACTGTCTTAGCATGAGAAAAGCCTATTTCTTTTTCTATGAAGACGCCCAGATTAAAATTACGGAAAAACAGAGACCGACAGATAATTCCACTCCTTTGCTGTATGCATTACAAAAAGAAGCAAACCGTTTCCTTCAAATATATGGATATCGACAAGAAAAGGTGGGTACCCGCCAACCCCCTGGTTGTTCGATGGAAGAAAGGAGAGAGAAAAATTCTGCTATTTATAGTTATATTAGACCGAGTCATGATCTGGCAAAAGATTAAGGAAGTCAATCGTTGCAGGTGCCTTAGGGCCGTGCTTATGGTATTTTACGAGGAAGAGGCTATATTCAGCAACGGACTTGTGACTAAGGGGTGTGAGGATTATTTTTTTTAATACCAATCTCACCTGAATGCATGAGGGCTTAGCAGTCTACTGAACAAGTTTTCATGCCAATTTTAAACGCAATTATTTTTTTCACTTGCTATAAAAAATACAATAACTCACGTGTCTTAGAGTCTTGCTTTGGAGGCATTTCTTTTAATAATTCTATTGTAATTTCAGATGTTTTGGTTTGCGGAGGAGGTGAAGACGGTCGCACTATCGTTGCACCGGAGTAACCGAAGGTTGAGAAACCTCTACTATTTGTTGTACCAGAACCTATCAAAAAAGAAATCAGCTTTTAATAACTTATATCTACTGATAGAAAGGCGTCCAGCTAAAAGACACATAAAATATTTTTATTTAATCGAATAAGGATCTCGATCTCCTTTCCCCAAAGCACCTATATTCATAGTATCTTAAAAATATGAAATTGTGTTTTAGTATAATGTGCTAAAAGTATTGCGTAGTTTTTGTAAATTATTTAAAAACAAACCTTTTATCAAAATATTAATTAAAATTTCAATGCAAAAATGTTTGTTATATTTTAATCAAAAGTATTTAATAAATAGCATATATTTTTGATTTTTATTGGCATCATTAGAAAAGAAAAGGGAAAATCCTTAAATACCGCTCCTTAAGAACTGTCAATACATACACCAAAGTTTTTCTAAACCCATATTAACCTTGGTAAGAAACTTAAAATCTTTGGGTATGGATTGCGAAACTTAAAGCAATGGCAAACTCATATCTCTCATGTGATTACCATTTCAAACACTGAGATGATGTAAGTGTATGTAAGTGATGCAGAATATCATTATAAGTATACTTTTAAAATATTAAGAAAATTTTAAGGAAAATAAGGGTCATTTAGCATTTAGGACATTCAAAAGTAATTTAATTCATAATTTATACTTACCATCTGTACTAGGTGGAGCTTCCTGGAATAAGCTCTCTCTCGTTTGACATCCAGACTCTTTTGTATCAGGTGCTCCTACTGACACGTCTCTGATTTCTTTTCTTTCTTCACTTTCCTTTTTCTTACTTTTAATAGATTCTTCTTTTTTACTTATATCACTTCTTCTTGATTTTCCGTTGCGCTCAATACGGACTTCCTCGGTTTTGGCTGGCACGCTATCTTTGCGCCACGTTTCATCGTCCAAATCGAGATGAGTTTCTTGTATAAAATCAGAATCAATGCTACTTTGCTATAAAAAATATATATTTTTTTAAATACTTTATCTATCGAATGCAACTGAAATTATACACACATAAACATATTCTAGGGATACCTTAATCCTAAATTATTTACGACTTTATAGTTTTAAATCTTTTTAGTTTCCACAAAAATTTTATATAGCAGTTGAAACCTCTTTTATCCTATTTTCAAAATTTGAAAATGTAAATACATAAAAAAAAAACAAAAGAGAAAACAAAATACGGCTGCAAAATTTTAAGTAATTCGTTACGTCAAGAAAAATTAAAATTGTTCTACTGATATAAATTAATGAAAAGGGTAAAAAATATTTTCTTTTTTAATATACGTGCCGTGTGAGTTTTAACAGTCATGTTAAAACTTACAAATCAGGCCCTACACAAAAGTCAAAACGTGATATCAAGGTTGTGGTCACGTTATCGCAGTATTGGGGATGTGGCTGAACACGTGGCGGCACACGGGAGATATCGTGTTACTATGCAGAGACAGAATCAATTTCCCCAAATGACCGCCAGGACTATCCAGATTTACGAGAACACGCGTTTGGAAAACTCTTAGCCGTCTACGGCACCTTCAGGAGGTCCACTTTCGTCGTGGCGGACGAACCCAACTCGTTTGGATTCAATGCAACATGACTGCACAAAAATATCACGAGGAGGTAGTACAGCCTATTATTGTCCCACACAGAATCAAAATGGGCCAGAAATGTCTACTCATGCACGATAATGCTCCTTCCAGTGCGGCGCGGCTGGTGTCGATAGCTATCCGAGACCATGATTTTCAAGTTTTGAATTGGCCTGGACAGTCGCCTGACTTAAATCCTATCGAGCATGCCTGGGATATGTTACAACGAAAAGCTTTGAGAGATTTCCCGCCAAATTTGACGACGAAACAGCAACTTTACGAAGACTTGCAAAGAACATGGGACCTCATACCGCAGCAAGACATTGATAGCTTAATTTTAAGTATGATGTCGATGTTTAATTAATGTAATAGGTGGTAACACTGATTATTAATAATTAGATATTATAAAATTTTTTTTCAATTTTAATTAAAATTAATAGTTTTATATATAATATTATAAGACAAAATGAAGTTTTTTGACCATTTGAAAAATTAAAAAAAAATTAAAATTATTACTTGAAACAAACAAGTAACGAAATGTTTTTTCTTTTTTATTAAAGACCTTAAAAAACCTATCATTCTTTTATTTACTATATCAGCAAAATTCTTAATAGATTTTTAGATATTTGATGAAATATAAATATCCCTAGATTCTGTCGATGTGTTTATATGATTATGATGACAATGTTTTCATTTAAATTTTCATTATCTCGACATCTGCCGATCAAGAAACACTGTTTAATAGATGCCTACACCTATCTTCAAGTAAGAATCTAGCGTTGTCATGCCTGAGGGCTAAGATAGAATGTCTCGTTACTAGTACAAAGAATCTCCGAAACCAATTTTTAAAACTAATTTAAAAACAATATTATTAAATCTAATTTCGCAAACACAAATTTTTTTTCTAATATTTTATTTAAAAAAGTCTTGTGCTGTGAAATCATTTTTAAATTGATTTTCTTACACTACTTTCATACTTAGGTTTTCTCATGTGTCATGAAAGGAAATGGTGTGATAGATTGTATGATAGTTTTTGTAAATAGAAAAAAACATATCATACGAGTGACACTTACTTTGCGTTGGGAGTACTTCCGCTGTTTTTTGTACATTTCATTTGTGTGATTTTCTCTTTCTAGACTGGCGCGAGGTTCACTATCTCTTTGAAGCATTTTAGCGTCGAGTGTCAGCCGGCTACTTACAAGATCGTCCAAGCGGTCTTCGCAAGACTGTCGGATATGCTCCTATAACAAAACACTACACTGTGTTATCGAGCAAAAATAGTGCCTAATATATCACTTAATAAAATGCTATATACCTTTATGATCTTGTGGTCCTGATAAAGTTTTCTTACGCACTTGAAAATAAACACGAAGCTCATGCCAGAGAGTATTAAAGAAAATATCACTAAGATTACAATAATGTGCAATTTACCGACAACTGATTCAGCTGTGTCCTATAAAATAGAAAAAAAATGGTTAATAATTGATTACTGCTATGTATTGAAGGTCTAGAGGAACTTGATTAACCGACCACATTCTTCTCAAAGATCCAATCCAATAGATCCATTTTCATATTAGAATAGGCGACAAACGAGCACACAAACCAAGTCAATGGAAAGTTATTTTTATATATAACAAATGAACATAGAGTCTACCTTATGGTTAGAGTCTACTGTAGCCTATGGACACTTTATTCAACTTGAAACAAAGAGGACTTTAGATTCGTAGTTACTAATTTTGAGAACTGAAACATAATGCATAACAACCTATTATTTTACAGGCATTTTGGAATACAAATGCATACACTAATCTTTAAAACACTGGGAAATTGAGCCTCTCATTCAATTGCCAAGTAGAAATGCCTTTATCATTATCATCATCATTGCAGGCTTATGCAAATCCACTGTGGAACAAAGGCCTCCAAAAAAACTCAGTCTTATGCCACCTATTTCATCTACTTACTGCATTATCAGGTTGTCACTCTATCAAATGGCTTTCCATTCTTTACTCGGATTACCGGTACGAAGTTGAAATTCTAACCTTTGCCTTAATTTATTTTATCTAAACCGCGTAGTGACGGTGTAAGTATATCCACTACCCCACATCGTCCCGTGGGTGTCGTAAGAGGTAACAGAGCGAAACAAATCAGGATAAAACTTTGGTTGCTGACTCGCTTGCCAAGCATGGCAACCACGGAAATATCAATGTCTATGAGGTAATCAATGGGGGATGCCTATGTTACGTAACGGTAAGTAGTATTTGTTTAGATCTTAAAGGCGACAGTAGCCTAATGGTAGAATGCGGACTCCGAAAATCGTGGGTTCGAATTCGCCATTCGACAACTGTGGTGAACCACTCCTAACACGAGCATTTAAGTTACTAGTATTCTTTGAAAAAATATTTTCCTTACCTCGCAATTTTCTTCGTCAGCTTTTAATCTGCAGTGTGCATAATCATCACACACCAGTTTTCCACTTATGCATGTATTGTCCCCACAGTTGAATTCTGATTGGCTGCATTTTTCTATAATAAAAAAATTACATGACTGAGATAATTCAAAATCTCATCACTCTACGGGGTGACTGACTGAGAATGCCAGTAGACATTAAGTCTGCCGTTTGTTACTCTATTTCATAAAGCGTTTACAAAAAAGATTAAATAAATAAATAGTTACATTACTGAAATATATAATCTTAAATAATATTATTATGGGAGAGGGCTTGGAAGTTTGTGTATATGTGAAGTTATAATTTATTTAAGAAAAAAGTTATTTTAAGATCTAATTTAATAATTTGTTTAAACCGAACCCCATCGCTACCACTAAAATTGTTAATTGCCATTTAAGGAATTATTTTACCATGAATTCGATGATGGAAGAATACATCGTGAAGAAACGTAAATCTCCACAAATTAAAGAATAATCAAGGGCACGTGAAGTTTGGTAAGTAGTCAAATAGCAAATAATCACTGCTATACCAAGCCGTGACTTTCACGGATTATGGATTTTCGTTTCGTTTTTCTTTTACCGGCGGTGAAGAATTCATACCCCCATCTCGTTTTGTGGGTGTCATAAGAGATACTATAAGAAATGCTGGAAATATGTTATGACTGATGAGATGACGGTATAACCATCTTGTTCTCGCCCATATCTAAAACCAAGATCAGATGTGGAAGCAGGTTCAAAGATATGCGACATTTGTTACAAACCTACCATCCAAGTGCAATGATCGTAAAAAATGCTGCCTATCCCCATTACACCTGGTAAATATTAATAAGAACGAAGCCTTTGGTGTCTTGTGGTGGCAAGATAAGAAAATCGCATGATGTTTCGTGGATGTTGTAAGAGGCAACAGAGGAAAATTAAAAAACAGCAGGAGTAAACAAAATGCGATTACAAACCTGCCCGCAAAACATACACTTTGGCACATAATATACGAAGCAACCATGGGGAAGGCTTTGAGCAATTTTTCGGAATAATTTTAGCTATCAATTGTCACATGCACAAATCTCGCAAGAAATCTGACGTACCATCCACACCATCTGGATGATTGGCCGTGGATCACTGTGCATTTTAGTAGGAATTTTGTTCCTCCCACGATATTTTTGCAAAATTATTTGCCATCGGGGATTTTTCTAGGGCAATACGACTTTGGGAACTTCAACAAACGAGATTACTCCTTTTTAGAAGGCCGGCAATGCACCTGAAATTCCACTATTGTGTGTATTGCAGTTGCTTATTGACGGCAGTATACAATTACTATCAGGTGAGGAGCATGATTATTTGCCCTCTCTTTTATGAACTATAAATGGACAGTAATAAATAAGAAAAAAAAGAAGAAGGTAGAATTCAATGGTTACGTACCGTCCTTATTAGGGTCCAAGTTTCTAAACGCAGTGAATCTTGCACTGAACTCAGATTCCTTTCCTAAGCTTGTAGCATACAGACGAACGTGCATTATATTTCCCTTGTCATTTTTTACTTTCCCTTCAAAGTCCTTCGCATTGACGGGGTTGGCTATTGAACCGCAATAATACGCCCATCTATACATAATACTCATTTTATTTTGTTAAATGTTTAAGCTGAAGTGGCAATGGGCCGGCCATATAGCTCGAAGAACCGACAACCGATGGGGAAAGAAGGTTCTCGAGTGGCGGTCTCGTACCGGCGGACGAAGTGTAGGGCGTCCCCCCTCTAGATAGAGTGATGACCTGGTAAAACGTGCTGGAAGTCGATGGGTGCAGGTGGCTCAGGACAATGCTTGGTGGCATTGTCCTGAGCCTTGGGGGACACCTACGTTTAGCAGTGGACTTGTGAAGGGCTGTAAAGATGATGATGATGAAATGTTTAAGACAGCATTTAAATTTAAAAATTTAAAAACTCCCGAAGAGCCGATGATCTTCAAATGGCTGAACAGATTTTCTTGAACAAATAGCTAAGAACAGTTCCGATTAAAACACCTTCCAAGCAAAAATAACTAATTCAAAATAGGTTCATAAGTTTGGGCGCTACAACGACACAGACAGACACACAAATACACAATTACGGCGAAAATAGAGTCTATTAAGCTACTCAGTATTGTATCCAATACTAATGTTTCAGAAATTGATTTCGACGGGAATATTCATGAAGGTCAAGTAGTTACTGCATCCCTCATACCAATTAACTCAGCAGTACCAGCTTTGAGGATAGTGTTATGTAATGAAGGCATAGATAATGAAACTGTATATATTGACTAAAACTACTTTTACTGGGATCCTGTAATTAATAAAATTAAAACTAAGCCCAAGCCCATACCACTGCAAGATTTCAAGACCAAAATTAATAATTAAAAAAGCTGAAGGTACTCCGGGTTAATTCTGATAAGGGAACGTCAATCACCTCAGTCCTCCGTGACCATAATTACTGTATAGTACCCGAAACGTCGGGAGTTAATAAAAAATTTGTTAATTAAATGCGATAGAATCCGTGAAAATAGTTTCATTTAATGTGTAGTGTTCGCGTAAATATAAGAAATCATTATGGAAACTGTATCTATTTATAATTTGAAGAAAAAAAAGACTGCGTAGCCTGTCAGCATTTTTAGAAAACAAAAGGCTGAAGAACTTGCTTGGGTGAAATTATTCCCAAAAGGAAAGAACGGCCTTAAAGAAAACAGACTGGTTTCTATCATGTCTCTCGATTAGTAGCAAACGGGAATAATGTGCAACAAAAAAGGTTTTCAGAATAACGAATACCTATTTTATGTGCTTTCAGTTGTAGAGCTTTATAAAACTCAGCTATATGTGTGTTTGTGCAAGCCTGCTATAGAACAGTGCAAAGCCAACCGATGTTTTTTTTTATAGGATAGGGTGACACAAGAGCACACAGTCCACCTGATGGTAAGTGGTTGCTGTGACCCATAGACATCTACATCTATCCTCAATAAAGAATCAAAATGTAGATGGGTGACAACCCGTGAGAACTAAGATGGAATGCCTCTTTTCCAGTAAAAAGGCTCTACCACGTGTAAATGGTATGTCGATGTCGTACAAAACGGTCATTAAATGATGCGAAATATTCATGGTACTTCGTCATATTGGCACAAAGCTTATACAGACCTTCTAACACTGGTCAAAAACTTGGGACCTCCACACTGGTATTGAAGATTCTCGTATAACGACTTGAATTTGCCCGATGTCTTAAAAGTTCTTTTAGTTTCGTTTTCTAGATAGTCAACCTAAAGCTTCTGTAGATGAGCTTTCATTTTCAGAGAAATTTTGTTTGGTTGAACAATACCCAATCATTTTGTCGAGGCAGTTTATGATACGCATAAACGTTGTGTGTTGCAGACTTTTGGTGGCGAGTGGAATTCCAACTCCGCGGTAACTCTCACTTTTATTCATATATGGTCATGTGGTGGGAGCATATGCCTAAACTTTTCAGTCCACAAGGCATAGAACTACTAGACCAAGTAGTCTCCTGCGCAGTACCAAACCCAGAGCACGATAAAGAAACGCATGATTTAGTCACAAAAGTGCAAACCCACAGACGCACCCACATATGCTACAAAAGGGGTACAATATGTAAGTTTGCTTTTCCGAGACTAGTTTCTAGTGAAACAAGAATTTTAGATGACGAACAAACCGCTGAAAATAGATGAAAGTTTTATATTTTAAAAAGAAAAGATTCTGAGACCATGATTACAATCCAGAAATATTGAAAATTTGATGTGCTAATATTAGATATCCAACCATGCGGGTCAACACTCGGAATTGCATTATATATCTAAATATATATCGAAGTTGTAGCCCGTAGAAATCTCAAGATCAATAAGAGAAGCCATTCGACGTATACGAGAGGAAGGTGGCGATATTGGAAAGCAGAAATTTGCAATACAAAATGCCATTTTAACACATCGAGAAGTTTTGGAATGTGAATGTGCCTTCCCTTCATGCCATCTTAAATTAAGGGACAGCTCAAGAAAATATGTTTTTGTCAATTTCTGTTTCCCAATAGAGAGATATGTAATGCTCAGGACTGACAGTGATGCTTCGGAACTGTATAAAAATATTTTTGATAGATATGTTTGTAGGCCTCGCCATCTAGAACACCTTAGTTTAGGAGAGTTTGCCATTTTGTATGATGTGGTTATTTCGCAGTGGAATGACATTGACAGTGATGAACAAGATATGCATGCATATGCAATAGAACAAGTCAATACAGATAATCGACAACAGGACATCACATTACTGGATAATGCAGGCCGAATGAAAAAACGAAAACATCCAGCCATTTTGCGCACTTTTAGGCTAGCATCAAACCCGACAGATTATTACTATTTGCTTTTGGTAGCTCACGCTCCATTAAAAGCTGAAAATTAATTAATATACGGCTAATAGTAGCCGAATCGAAATATGCTTTTAATGCAAAACGAAGTCAATTACGACCTCTACAAGAAGGGACTGATTTGGAAACATTTGTTTCTTGGGAGACTGAAATTCAACAGGCAATAAGTCTAGTAGAACATGAAATCTAGCTGCAACATCCATTAACCAGATTTATGACCAAAACTTAACGATCGATTCCATAGCACGTGTATTTGGTGAAGACGAGCACATCGTTGATTTCGAAGAGGCGCCTTATGACGTTGTAATGCCAGATCAGCAATTTCATGCCGCTATAACATCATTAAACATGCAACAGCAATAACATTTTACTAAAGTTGCGCATAAATTGCTTCACGATGATACAGTTGAGCCTTTGCATATATTCATAACAGGTGGTGCCGGAAGTGGTAAATTCTTCGTATTAAAGTTACTTGTCGAACAAATATGTCGATTAGCGCACGACAATTACAGAAATAGTGTAATTGTCACTGCGACACGTGTTTACACGCGACTATTGTATTACCGATTGAAAAGGGTAGAACGGAAAAGTTGCGACTGATGGCTAGAGAGAGACTTCAAAGAGAACGTCAAAAGTGGCATCACATAAATTGGGTGATTACTGATGAGATATCGATGGTGCCATATTTAACTCTCCGTAATTTTCACTTGCGGTTACAACAAAATAAAGAAAATAACGCTGTTTTCGGTGCACTCAATGTACTTCTTTTTGGAGATCTGATGCAATTAACCCCGGTATCGAAAGTTGCTGGAGGATCTTATTGCTGTCGTCAGCCACGGATATTGTCCGCCAAAATTACCTTCTCGCACTTATTCAGTTTCTGCGAATTACCTCAAAATATGAGGCAAGCTGGAGATACCACTTTTGTAGATGTATTGAATAGTCTTCGGGTTGGAAAATAGACAATGCTGCAGTTGTCCATAATAGATATCCGAAAAGTACCATTGCCAGGAGCATTCGGTGACGGGGATGCTGTTAGAATTTTTCCTACAATTAAGCTTGTGGATAATTATAACTCCATCATAACTATCCTAGCAAAACGCTTTAAAATTTTTAAGATAAATGTAGTAGTTATCTCACTGGACCCTGAAACATACGGCAAAATTCCAAAAAAAGAATATATATCAGTCGATCCCAAAAAAAAAAATTGTCCGCATTGAGCATTGTACTACTGAGTTTGATGATTTACGTGGTAAAGGAAAGATCGAACGACGTATGCTTCCACTAATTTTGAACTGGGCAGTGACAGTACATAAATTACAGGGAACAACTTTAGACCAGTCTGTTGTTGATTTAAGCAGTAATCTTTTCGCTAAAGTTCAGGCTTACGTCGCTTTGAGTCGAGTAAGATCACTCTCAGATTACTACATCAACCACACGATCAAAATTCTCTTGAAGAATTAAACCGCTTACGTGAATTGCAATTTTCATTTGTTTGTTTTGTTTGGCATGCCATCAATCATCTCTAAATTTGGTCCGACCTATATAAGTAACACAGTTTTTGTTCATAAGAGTGTGCTGGGACACTAAAAAGTCTTAAATAAAGTAAGTAATTAAAAAAATCAAAACCCGACTGCAAAAAAGACAATTGAAAATTAATGCACTAAAAAGACCGAAACAAGACTGAAGATAGAAAACAAAATAAAAATGAACTATAAATAAAGTGAACTCTTCTTTGTTTATAGTTTATTGCAAATTATAAACCGAAAGAAAATTAATGTGTCCCGTCTACTACTAAACTTAATATATAACTTAGGGTATTTAATTTTGCCTTTCAGCTCAAAATATAGTCTGTTAAACCGAAGTAGAGTTTACTTTGTTTATAATTTTTTTTTCTATTCTCAATCTTGTTTCTGTCTTTCCAGTCTTTTTTCCAGTCGAGATTTGATTTTTTTATTATTTATTTTATTAAGTACTAAAAGTTAGTTTTCATTCATTTATTCTTTCATTATAGCTTATCAAAAGTCTATTCAGTCTATAAGTTCAGCAACCTAATCCTCCCTCATATATTAGCTCATAGGGGAGATTTCGTTATAGCTAGCTCGCTTAGATTAGCAGGCGGGTTGGAATTTGCAGTTTCTTATTATTTTCACTTGTTATTATGATTATGCTACAGATTTTGTGTATCAGTTTCCTTCTGTCGCCTCTTACGATACCCACGGCAGGACTTGGGGCAGTGGATATTCTTACAATGCACACCACAGTAATTTTAAAAATAGTTTATACCCCTCTTATTTTGAATCTTTAACTCGATATTAAGTATTAGCTGCGCTGGGTAAGCGACGCAGTGCCCTTTTTGGTCAAAATCCATTAAGGACATGCCTAAAACCCACCATGTTCATCATTATCCTTTATAATATTTATATAATTGCTTTTATAATGATTAAAAGGATCTTCGGTTCTCTACACTCACCATACGAAGCACAGCAGCATTAAAATGCTATTTTCCGCTGGTATTCTGTGAGAGCGTGGTCCTTTCATGGTCGAATCGACTCATTCGTACTACAACCATAATATAGCTATAGCACGGTTGTATCACTTAAAAATATATAATTTAAAAATCATCAAATACGTATGGCGGATAAAAGCACGCAACGCAAATATTATTATCGCGCGCCGAACAGTGTACTGAACCAATATTACATTATTGATAAGTGAGCGTTGCATATAATTGCCAAACCGCGAAGCCTGATAAAAGCAATTTGTAATTATCATACTAATTATGTTTTACTGTGCCGTGTCTGCCGTGAGTGCCGTACGTGTTGTACGTCCCTTGTGTGTCGTATGTTACATGTAGCGGCGGCGTAAAAGAATCAAAAAATATAGTATTACCCCATAAACACCCCGCGTGTGACGTAGAAGCGACTAAGGGAACGAAACAGTAGATGAACAGCAGGATCTTCCTGGTAACAACTCCAAATTAAACTGCAGTTAACAACCCGCCGCCAAACCTATTATAATTTATGGCAAATATCCCCTTTATGTGGTAGTCTTCGGGGAATCCCGTAATCAGCAATGGACATTGTAAAGATGATACAAGTAAGGGAAACACTTCAATCTAAATCCTTGATTAATAATCAAAATGCAGATCTCTTGTCACCCCGAGGACTAAACTGGAATGTCTTGATACCAGTAAAAGGAGTTTTCAATTCTTTACAGTCAACATACAAAACACAGCAGCATTCTGCTGCTATTTCACCTTACCTGTTTTTCTCCTCCGTCTTGAGTCCAAACACCTGAACTGAATTATGTTCACATTCATTTGGTTTTTGAAGAACATAATGTGTAAAGTTGAGATAGATCTAAAAATAAATGAGAAACTCCAGAGATTAAATAGCATTCCTTCCTATATTCGAGAAAAGATTTGATCTCCGTAACGATCCGTTTTATTACAAACGAAGTAAGTGTAAAAACAGTTAATATTACAAACTATTCATTCAAAAACTTAGGATGACTTGAAGCAAAAAACTCTTAAAGTTTCGTACATAGTTGGACTGGTATTATGTTTAAAAAAGGAAGTTTTCATGCACTCCCTTTACTGCTGAACGGCTCGTAAATGAAAACAAAGCGTCTTTAAATATGTAAACCCTGCAGAAGTGGTGATGAAGAAAATCCATCACACCATTTTGTCCCGTAGGTATCGTAAGAGGTAACGATGGGATATGTCAGAAAGTTTTTAAAATAGCCGTTTACTCATTTCCAAATGTGATGACATTTTACGTGCAGATAAAGAGTCATGTAAGACAGGATATAGGCTACATTTAATGCGAAACACTTGAAGAATTGTTTTTTTACAAACGAAACCATGACAAAATTAATGGTATGTGATTATTTTAAATCTAAATAACTTCACATAAATAGTAATCCTATTCAGTCAAAGCCGTGGCGGGTCGATAGCAACTAATAAAATAAGTCGTTACTTAGCGAAAATCCATTACATTAAATATGTAAAATAATATTAGCAAAGATAAACGTATAACCCTATGCGTTTACAAAATACGAGTATTATACGCATATCTTAGCCTATAAACTTTACATCTTATAAATACGTTAATCACAACAATATCAATAGAATTAAAATACCATCGTGTTTGCAGCGGTTTCTATCCTCCATAAAACATCTAGGGTATGGCCCTCGCTTCCTCTTTTACAATCATCGTTAATTTCTTTGGAATCGATTATACCTTGAATACCGCTTAGTTTTATATAGCAACTAGCTGGTATTTTGTCTGGAAAACAAAATTTTCATTAATACGTGATTGAGTCATGCTGCAGCTACATTATGGTTGAAGCATGAATGGGTCGATTTGACCGGGGCAGGATCACGCTCTCACTGTTAATGAATGCTGTTATTTATCGTATGGAGAGTGACCCGGAGAGAAACAGAGACCCTTTTTACTGGAAACGAGGTATTTCATCTTAGTTTTCAAGGGTGACAACGCATATGCATCTTGATCCTTAATCGAGGATAGGCGTAGAAGTCAATAGGCCACTACACCTACTTACCATAAGGTGTTTTGTGTGCTCGTTTGTCAACCTTATTCTATGAAATAAAGCCAACATCCTACAAGCGATACGTAGATGACACTTTCACAATTCTACTTTTCTGCCGACTTCCAAAAAGGAGCCGGTACTCAACACACATAAAAAAAGAAAAAAGTTTTTTTTTCTTTTTTTATGTGTGTTACTTCAGAACTTTTTTCTGGGTGAACCGATTTCGATTATTCTTTTTTTATTTGAAAGCTGGTACTTCTCGTGTGGTCCCATATGAATTTGATCAAGGTCAGACCAATAGTTTTTAAGTTATTCTTAAATAACTTATATTGAAGTCGGCTGTACAAAATTTTTAATTTTAAATTATAGTAACTGCATTTTTAGACAATCTTAACTCCATAAATTCTAAAATTCAGTTCACAATAGAGTTAGAGCCAAACAGTTCTTTAGCTTCTCTAGATGTGTTAGTAATTCGGAATTCCGATAAAACCTTGAGCCACACTATACATAGATAAAAGACCCATACAAATAGATATTTAAACGGTGATTGTCACCACCATCCTTCACAGTTAGCAACCGTGGAAAATCTTTGCTTCATATTGCACGAGGGAAAGGGTCTGTGACAGTAAACGCTCGCTGCCGAGTTTCAACATATTAAGCTAGTCCGATAAAAGATACTTCAAGCCGCCGAAGAAGACTAGTCAGTCTTTACCATCAAGTGTAATAATGTCCTTCTGCAAGATGCAGGTGTGTATATGCTAGATTGTGAATGTGGTCTCTTTTACACATGACAAACTAAAATACCTATAAAAACCCGCGTTAAAGAACACATAGCTGATGTCAACAATAGACGCTCCGGGAAGTGTGCAATCTATGAACACGTGCAGGATCGCCTTCTTCACTACATCAGAATTGATAGACCGCAAATCCTCGCTTTAGAACACTGATTCCATCCAAGAATTATACGCGAGGCTATTCCAAAAAAAAACATCCTAATTTCAATAAAGATAATGGCTAGGTGCTACTGTGCATACATATACGTACATCTGCATGGAATCCTATTGTTAATAAAATGAAATCCCAACCCAAGCATGCAACTGCAAGACTTCAAGATAATATAAGATAGCGTAGATAATCATAATTTTAATCTGGAGGTAGCACGGGTTAAATATGACTTTGGAACGTCAAACACCTCAGTCTAACCGTGACTTTGGGTGCTGTAAAGTGCTTGAAACGTCGGGAATATAAAATAAAAATTAATATACGCGATAGAATCTGTAAAAACTAGTTTTATTTAATACTCATGAATTGATTCCCTCCGCTACCTCTTACGACACCCGTGGGATGATATGGGGTAGTGGATATTTTTCCACCGCCACTACATGGTACGTCGAATCCTTCCGAAGAATATTAATATTTAAATTGAAAAACATCATAATTTTAATATAGGAGATGGCGGGGTGCTACTATCTACTTGGGGTGCTATGAATCTCCCCACAACTAAATACTCAGAGAAATAGGAAGATTTTATATGTACAACTTACGGCTGTTACTAGGAGACTGTATAATATCCACATTGATGTGAAATCCTTCGTATTCTATTGTTGCATCAGAATGAAACTTTAGCCATGCAAATGGCCCTGTCGTAGTAATTTGAGGAGGAAAATTTTGCCCGCAAAACTTTCCCAATTTATTTGCATATCCCTTTTCACCGTCGCGTATCTATAAGTGTACAAAGCATAAATGAAGCACGGTTATTAAATTGAAGCAAAATTTATTAATAATATAACAAAATATTTGTTTAATAAAATAATAAGAAAGAACATGCCTCTAAAAAGTCATAAATACACTCAGGATGATCCTCTATATGAAAAATGTCAACAAATGTTAGTTTGATTATACTTCCTTCTGGACCTGTAAATAAAATAATTGTTGAATTTTGTGTTATCAGATTTTTAAATATATATTTCTAACTTATTATTATCATCAGTATGAGACTTAAAAAAAATATAAAAAAAATTTACGCTCAAAATAGGAAATGAATATGTATTTTTTTTAAATATTTTCATAACATTAAAATATTGTATATTTTTAAAATAATAAGTAAAAAAAAACTAATAACTTTAATTATCGTACGTCCCGTGGTATAGTGCCAAGAACGCTTGCTCCGTTTCCATACTAAATAGTTTTAAGTAGCATTTGAGCGAGAAAATAACCAGTCTTCTTATCATAAGAATATGGTGTTCGATTATTATATTATAGATATGTATTAATAAACAATTTAATAAAACTTTCAAAATAAGGACATAATATTAAATAGTGTGCTATTGAAATCAAAACAAAAGCTTACAACGTTTTACTAACCTTCAATAATTGTAGTGCAGTCTATATCACCATAGTACAATTTGTTTGTGTCGTTTTTAGAGTACGGGTGACTAATTTGAGTTTTTCCCTTATGATAATAGAAAGTTTCACATCGTTCTGAATCCTCTTCTCTTTTGAATCTTCTTCTTGGTCTCAGAATTTCACGAAAAATGCTCAGACGTTCATCTCTTTGGGAAATTCTTTTTGAATTATCTAATATACTTTGTAATGATTTACGTATATGAAAATTACTTTGTAAAAGGTCTTCATCGGCAGTGTAAATTTCATCATATCTATTAACATTATTTGTAAAATTATTTTTCAGTTCTGTAGCAGTTTCATCGTAGCTTATGTAATTTCTATATACTACACTATGATTATTTAATTTGGTCCTTATAGTTTCCATTGTTAAATTTGGTTTGTCAATTGCTTCGTTATTGAGTGACTGGCTTAAATCAAAAACGCTTTTATCTTGTATTTTTAAATTGTCGTCATGACCAGTTACTCGTTCTGATGTCAATCCAAAGATGGAGCAAACTGAAAACAAAGAAGTACTATTAAAATTAAGTACACATGAAAGTGCGTGTCTGCATCTGACATTATGTTATAATAAGGTAGTTATGCAGTCTGTAAGTAACCGTAATATCATAACAACATGTTAATGACAAGTTGTCCTGACTAAGCTTTTGATATAAGATTACTTGTATATATTCGTTTAAATTTTTTAGTTTGCATTCACTATATATTAGAAATGAAATAGTTAATAAAAGTCGAGACATATTTGTTGTTTTTAAAAACCTTCTCCACCGATCCTGATACTTAACTAGGTACACTAGACTTCAAATGAAATATAAAATTAAATAAAAAAGGTTCGTAAATAGAACTACTAAATTAAAATATAAATAAATAAAATAACGTTTAACAACAACCAAATCTGTCTTAATGCAAAGGAGCTCTGCCTCCTGAACTAGGTTATCAATCACCTGTATCTTGAAAAAACAGTGCCTTCCCTTGATCTTAGTTCTAGGTCTATATTCGGTAAGTACATAAAATTATTCATTATTTCTTAATTAATAGTGGTGATGGTTACTGCTATTTAACGTAATGTGTTGTTTTGTAGTGTTGTGTGTATATGCGTGCGTGCGTGCATGCTCGCGCGTGTCTGTTTGTGTGTGTGTGTGTGAGAGAGAGAGAGAGATAGCGTGAGTGTATGAGTGTGTGTGCGTTTGCGTGTGCGTGTGCGTATACGTGTGCGTTTGCGTGTGAATGTGCGTGTGAGTGTGCGTGTGCGTGTGCATGTGCGTGTGCGTGTGTATGTGCGTTTGCGTATGCGAGTGGGTCTGCAAGTGCGTGTGCATGTGCGTATGCGTGTATGCGTGTGCGTGTGCGTGTGTGCGCGTGTGTGTTGTTGTTGTGTTGTTAGTTATGTTAGTTGTTTTTTAAAAGGATAAACAAGAGATACCAAGGTGTAAGATTTTATCCCATTTCTACCTCTCACTTTAGAAGGTGGAGTCGATAACTAATATAATTTTAATTGCTAATAATCAGTTGAGTATAATTAAACTTAGAACAGTTGTGTTTATGGAATGATGCTTTTCTAAAACAAAAAAAAACTTTTATCAAAATATAGGAGCCGACTTTTTTATAGAAGAGGAATATAAGAATACAAGCATGCGGATCACCTGATGAGATGCGTTGCCAGCCTTTTAAAAAGAAGTAGGCTCTTTTATTGAAGGTCCCTAAGTCGTATCGGTCCGGAAAAATTGCTGGTGGTAATCGATTCCACAAGGAAGTTGTGCGATAAAGAAAACATTTTCTAAATCGCACAGTAGTGGACCGTCAATCATCCAGATAGTATGGATGGTATCGCGAGTTTTGTCACGATGTGGGATGGTGAGATTGAGCGTCTTGAATTAATCTGAACGATTCCTCAGAGCACTCCACGTGGTAGATGCGATAAAATACGTAAAGAGATGCAACATCTCTTCGCAGCGCCACTGAATTGAGCCTATCGGAAAGGACTTGGTCGTCGACGATTCGAGCCGCTCTGCGCTGCGCATGCGCGCGTGTGACTATGTGTGTGACGGATGCGGTCAAGTGGAAGGAGCTGGCACTGGGGAGGCCCAGCCCAGAGATGGGAACAGTATTCCATGTGAGACCGAACCTGCGCCTTGTAAAGTTGCCGACTTGGAAGATATAAAAATAATAAAATAATTTCCAACAATATCCATGAAGTCATTGGTAAGACATATTAAAGTGGAGTGTTCAGACGAATTGAAATCCCCAACTTCGAGCTACTTGATGTGCAATTTTTTTATTATTTTTGGTTCTTTGTAGTCAGCTTTTACTTCATATCAAAAGATTAACTTTTTGACATTTTTGAGCGAACCAAGAAATATCACAAAATAGTTACATTAGAAATTTCGTTCCCTACTTTTCCAGCGGGTTGATTTCTTTCTACGCTGAACCATACCTGAGGTATATCTGTATACACTATTTATTGAAAAAGGAATCATCAAAATCACTTTATCGCGTAACATATGCAAACATGCAAAAAAATTTAGTCGAGTTGAAAATCTCCTCTTCTTTTGAAGGATCAAAAATATAAGAACATTAGCAAATCGACCGTTCGCACTGGTGATTTCTGGAACTTGACAATAGTGCCATCTACCGGGCAAAACTGTAAAAAAAACCATTCAGATGACCAAATTTCATTAAAATCGGTCAAGCCGTTTAGGAGAAGAATTACAAACACACACACCGGAATCTAATATGTAAAGATCGCCAAAAATTAAATTCAACAAGATTTAGGCATTAATTGAATAATTTAATTTAAAGTTTCCTGGAGTACAAAATATAATATCCTTTTGCTCGTTCTTATATGGAAAAAGGCTTTATATTTTAAATTACGTGACTTTTGTATACCTGCTGCTTGTATTCAGGTAATACACGTTCCCAAAGTGCGTAATGAACATAAACATGTTTGTGCAAACCCGGAAGGAAATGTGGCATACTCAAACAAAACTTCCCACGCCGAAACAAGAAAGTTTTCCAAGGGATGAGGTAGTAGATTCTGTATAGGTACGTTAGTTGCTAAGTTATGAAAATATAATGACCTAAAGTTGTTGGGGGTTGCAACATCTTGGAAACTCCACTTTGGGCGGTTTATTGATTCCAAGGTCAAAGGTGCCGCAAAGTATCTAAAAATGTCCTTGTAAATATGAGGCGACCATCACCCAATTTTTTCCCGTGAGTATCTTGAGAGAGTTCAATAATAAATACCAGAACAGCATATAGCTATTGAAAGATGGCGATATAACCAGCACATTTACTAAGGACTTCTACATCTAGTATTGTTTTTATAGAAGATTGGGCACACGAGCATGCGGCTCACCCATGAACAACTACAACACCAAGGAAATTGCAGGTGCGTTGCCAGCCTTCGTTTTGTGAGAGTCAAGAACTGGAAACACATTTTACTGGTAACGAGATATTCCATTTTTATCTTCAGTGGTGACAAAGAACCTGCATTTTGATACTTAATCAAATAAAAATGTACTTTCTCTATGAATAATTGGCGTATTTTATAGAAAGGCATAATATTTCCAGCAGTGAGCTTGGAGAAGAAAAATATGTGAATTAATAACTTGAAAACGTTTCTGTTGATTAATTTATTGCGTATACTTTTCCTTCATATTTTTGAGTCATTATTTATTTATTACAAAAAGAATTACATGCTATGGTGCATAGCAATTCAAGACCAAGACAATGCTATACAAAAAAAACTGATGGCTACTATTATTTACATATAAAATAAAAGTTATAATTATAGTTTTTTAATACAAAATTTTCTCACAAATCCTTTGCGCCGCTTCTTTGAACTTTGCCAGGCTGCAGTTGAACTTATCCATTTCTACGCAAATAATATTTAAATGGGATTATTGACTGAATGTTACCCAAATAAATGGCGTAATATCAAGATAGGAAAATTGGAATGAAATAAATTCCCATTTTCAAATGTAAACCCAGAATTTTTTGAAAGAAAACATCATTTGTAGCTCCTCCTATCCCTAGTCTTCCGTTTCACTGCATGAAAAGCGACATCGGTAAGGCGGAGAATGCTTAGATTTGGTTTTAAAAAGAAATATTTTTGATGCGTGACTGCCAACATATACAAGTAAAAAGAACCGTTTCAAAAGAAATAAAAGTTCGTCCTATACAGAGTAGCGTATTGAGATAAGGTAGAATAAAATACAAGAGTAAACGCATTCTTATATTACAGTTACAGATTTTTTAAAGGAAATTGACGAAATGGATTTTGATCAAAATAAAAATTACGATGTTCGATGTTTTACCACATCATCATCATTACATCTCCTCAAGCCATGTCACAAAGCACATTAATTACTTTATTTTATCATTATTATCCACAGGTTTTTAAATAAATTGGATTTCCAAAAATTCATCATTCACTAAATACAGCTCATACAAACAAAAAACAAAGATATCAAAGCCCACAACTGAATAAAGGAATCCTTATAAATATCCTCAAGGGTGTGGCGGCGCTTTCATGGTGCCGTAAGCAAAACGCACCGAAGCCCAAACCGCGCTATCAAAGTTTTGAAGTTAACGCCATATAATAGAATTCGGAATCCGGAGATCTTCAGTTTTCATTCCACGGCCAAACAGGTGACTCCGACGTGATGTGAACACGACGCAATCAACGAACTTCAAAAAACTTCTAACTTTTGTCATCGTCTTCAAATACTCTTAGGATATGTTTTTTATAGTTGCCACGTTTGGCCGGCAACTTATCCGCTAATCGTTACAGCCTACTAAAGGCGACAGCTAAACTTAGGCTTCCCCTATAGAACACCTCATTTTTTATATAGTATAGGGTGACAAACGAGCACACAGTCCTCCTGATGGTAAGTGGTTGCTGTGGCCCATAGACATCTACATTTATCCTCGTTTGCGGATCAAAATGCAGATGCGTTGTCACCCGTGAGGACTAAGATGGAATGCCTCGTTTCCAGTAAAAAGGGTCTCCGGTTCTCTACACTCACCATACGAAACCGAGCATTGTTAAGCTGCTATTTGACGCTGGTATTCTGTGAGAGCGTGGTCTTTCCCCGGTCGAGCGGACCCATTCGTGCTACAACTATACTACTAACATAGCTGCAGCATGGCTCTACCACGTATAATACTCATAGAGATCCCCTCTATGAGATTTGCCATAAAAATACCACTCTTGGCAAGCGGGTTGGTAATCGCAGTATTTTTATTGTTAGTCGTTATTAGAAAGACGCTGCTGCCCATTCCTGATTGGTTTTCTTCTGTTGCCTCTTACGACACCCACGGGATGATATGGGGTAGTGGATATTCTTACACCGCCACTACACGGTAAAGGCAGTTTATTAACCACAATTTATTATTTTCAGTTGTTATCTATAGAAATATCCACCACCCCATATATATCTGGCACATATGGAGTAGTTTAATCTCATACAACGCCACTACACGGCAAAAAATTTTCT